TAAAGAGTCTAGGTTTGGGAAGGTAAACACTGGAAGTCAATAAAGGGAAGTGGCACAAGGATTTGATAATAGGAGAATGGGTGCTCTCACCAGTAGGCCATGAGTTCAAATCCAGTCTTGGCCCCGGAACCTGCAAGTGCGCGCGCACACACGCGCAAGTAACTTTCTGCACATGGAGAATCCCATGGCACACAGTGTGTGGAGTTGTTCATGTGTGTGAGTGCTGGCAGGACTGGGTCCATACTTGTAGCAGCTGAAAGCCACTTCCAAGGGATGGCTTTATGGTGGCCTTTGTGAAATGTTCTCAGTTCAATTTCTAATGAAATATCCCCATAACACATGCTGCCAGCAGTACCCAACAGGCCTCAGGGAGATCATTTGTGCCTGATTTTCCATAGCTGCCAGAGTGCTGGGCTTGGTTCTCTTACCTGACCCTCCTGGTGTCATCCAGGGCATGCTGGGCTTCCTCCTTGTCTTTCAGGTATGGGGCCCTGACTGCCCAAGGGCAGAGCTATTCGCAGGAGAGGGATGGATGCGCTGCGGTGCTCTCGCATGTGGTGGGGGACCCCTCGGACCTCTATCAGATTGGAGTAACAAAGGTGGTGTCTAAGGATTCCCCTGTCTTGATCCCAGAGCCCTGTCTGTCCATCCCCTTGGTGCTGATGTTAAGTAGGGTGCTCAGTTCCTGCACATGAACAGATGAGTGGGAGAATTGATTTCCTGCCCGGGCCGTCTCTATTGTTTGACCTCTATTTTATTGCTTTTAGCTGGAGATTGTTAGTGCCTGTGAAAGGGAAAGACAACGCTGGCTGTAGGCAGCCGTAGGGCAGACACTGATTCCCTTGGGCAGCCAATGCATCTCAGTCTTGACCTGTGCCTCCACCTACCTTCTGTGTGCACCACTGTGCTGACCCACAGCACGCCCTGGTGTTCCACTGCTGGGCCCCCCACACTCTGCAGTCCCAAGGTACCTCAATCCTGAGCCAGAGCCCCCCATTCCAGCCCTCCCTAGATAGATAGAGGGCCTGGAATAGCGACCCAGGGGCACCTTATCTAAGAACAATGGACTCATGTCAGTGGGTAGCCTGTGTTATGATGGGCGGCAATAGCTCCAGGGGGTTTAGGGTGACATTAAGGGGTTGTAAACACCAGTGTCTATTATAGACTCTGCCTCTTCTTGGGGGTCAGCAGCTGTTTGCTCTGCCTAGGTCTTCCTGAAGGAGAAGGCCAAGCAGCTGCTGGAGAGAAGATGGAACCAGAAGCGGAGCTGGGCCGTTGTCACCCTCCAGCGGAACCTCCGAGGCCTCATCAGCCGCAGGCAATTCCAGGTCTTCAGGCAGAAGGTCATGGTCATCCAGGCTCATTTCCGGGGGCACCAGGCAAGGTCAGAGGTCAACGGCCACACCAATGCTCATATTCTGTAGCCAGTTGTAAGCATAAGCACCTGCTGGGGGCCGTGCACCGATTCAGTAACTTGGAGTCCAGCCCCGTGTCCCCACCTGCAAGAGGATGCAGGGACAGAATGGGCACTGCCTGTCTTGATTGCCCACCTGGTGTGCTTGTCCATGCTAGGAGCGGGGCCCTGCTTGACAAACAGTTACCGATGTGGATGTAGCTCACCGGGGTCTAACATAGATTCAGAGTGCAATTATTGAGACAACCCTGACAGCGGTTCTCATGTGGCAAACTCACGCTCTTGATAGTTGGAAGCAGAGTTTCTTAAGCAAGTGTAACACACAGGTCCCCCTCTGTCAATCCACAGAAGATATGGGCTGATACAGCCATGGCTATGGAACCTTAGCTCAAGCTGTAGCAGCCCATACTTTTAGCTTTAGTGGTCCCCGGTTCAATCCGCCATGGGGGCGGCCCTCACACAAGGCAGCACCATGTGGGGACTCTCACCATGTTTGCCCACCAGTGTGCTTGGAAAATGATTTCAAATCTGACACTAAGTCCTGTGATACACAGGGCCTTCCGTGCCCTGTATTCGTCCTTCCTAACACATAGGAACAGCCAAAAAGTTCGCCTCTCCCCTTGGGCGTTGTGCAAGGGTTGATCCTAAGGCCGATACTTTATTATAACTGGTTATTAATTCCCCTGTGTGCTGTAGTGGCTTGTCAGGGGATGGATCGGAACAATGGCTGGGATTTGCAAAGATGCCCTGGGGAGATAGGTGCCTAAATCTCATTGAATTACATTGGGAATTTGGTGCCTAACTCCCTTGGGAATTCCAACCCCGATGAATACAGATGGCAAACTCAAGCTTTGCCCACGCTCGAGATGTTTTGCTGATAGTCGTATGAATATAGCTAAACTGGCGAAACCCTCCTGCCATGCATGCTGTGATACTGATACAAAAGTGCCTCTACTGGTGTAGCTTGGGAAACTGGCATAAACTATGCCGGTATAAGCAGTTATGCTGGTATAACTGCATCCACGCTAGGGCTTATGCCTGTATATTGGTTAAAAAAAAACCACCAAAACCCCCCCACACCCTGCCCCCCCCCCCCAACAGACACTGCTGTAACTGTTTAGGGGAGGCCAGGCTAACCAGGAAGGCCAAATCAAATGCAGCCTGTTCTTTTCTGGTGTCGCTGAGCTTGTGCCTTGCTTACACCAGAGCTGCATTGGGCCTGTGCTCCTGGGCTTAGTCCACAGGCTGGCCTGCTTTGCTGAATTTCCCTTCCCCTCCTGCCCCCACTCTGCTCTCAGGAAGCGCTACAGGAGGCTGAAGATGATGCTGGTGCAGCTTGGGACGGTAGTTTTAATCTCCAGGCCCTTGGTGCAGACACGGAAGCGCTGCCAGGTAATAATACCATGCCTAGGAGCAGATGTGGCACACACGGCCGCGCTGCAGGGACCATTCACGCTCCGGGATATGCAGACACAGTTTGTGGAGGTGTGCTTAGGGTGGGGACAGGGTGATCTCTTTAGATACTTTCTGGGATTTAGACAGTGGCATTTCCCAGCCTGTTAAACCTGCCTTTGGCTCTCAGAGCAGATGAAGGGGCTGGGACTGGGAGCGAGCAGGGATGGGGGACATGGGTTGCTCTTTGTCTTACTGCACAGGGAGCCCTGGTGGACAATTTGAGGCTTTACAGGCGAGTCCCCTTAAACCCCTTCTGCGACCGAGGGCAGGAGCTATGAACAAGGCCCTGCGGGAATACAAGGAAGCTTTAAAACATTATTTGGCCTCAGTATTCAGGGTGCCAGGCAGAACAGGCCTAACCCGCAGCAGGGGCAGGCACGGGGAGAGCTGAGTGGCAGGCTCACATCACTAGAGTACAGTCATCAGGGTGAAGAGGAGCCTGAAACCCAGGCTGGGGGCACCCCACTCTTGGGGAAGGTGGGAGATGTGACTTGAGCAGGGTTGTGTCCCAGAGGGGCTTGAGAGGTGGCCCCTCAACTGAGAGCAAAGCAGGTGTCGTTAAGGCTGCTAAGTGTTTAATAACAGGAGATCCTCATTCCACCGCGGGGAGTGTCCAGTGATACAGGCCAAAATAGGAGGCGATTGCTCACATTTTTTTCTGATCGAGACCTGCTTAGGCAGAAGCCTGTTGGTGTCAGTGCGTGGAGCTGCCCTGCCTGCCACATGCTGAGCATGGACTGAGATTGAAAGAGCTGATGCAGCAAACAGTTGCATCGAAGTGTAGCTCTCGGGTGCCAGTGGTCACCTCAGCTTAATTTAAACCAAAAATAAACCTGGCATCTGGTTGCTTTTAGCCGGCGTTTGTAAACAGCAGTGTGGCTTTAAACAAGGGTGGTTTTAAGCCAGTTCTCAGGGTCACACGGTGCTGGGGGGCGAAGGAGACATGCTGGTGCCAGGTCTCACCACCATGTACAAGAAGGAAATCTCAGCTGGGGAAGAGTTTATGGAGTTGAGGACAATGACTCCGCCCATCTCCCATCATGTTCCTGGAATCCAGCCCAGGGATAGTCAGGTACTCTCAGGAGAGGGATTGATTTATAGGTTTAAAAGTCAGAAGGGACCATTATGATCATCTGGTCTGAACCCTGTGTAACCCAAGCTGTAAGATTCCAGCTAGGAATTCTTGCATCCAGCCCGTCTCTGGTGGTGGAGTTGGAACATTTCTTTTAGAAAACACCCAATCTTGATAGGAAGACTCCAAACGATGGAGAGATTCCCGGAGACTGAAGTTCTCTCTCCACAGACTGGGTTCAGCATCGGCAGAGACGGCACACGTGTAACCCCCTGGTCACTGATGTGTGGTATCCCCTGCTGTGCCTGAGCCGCAGGGGGTGAGAGGTTATGAGAGCTCTCAACTGCAAAGCCTTGAGCTCAAGCTGTAGTGACTCGTGCCTTTTTTTAGCTCGGAGGTTGACAGATCAATCCCCGGTGACGGCCAAAATGGCAGCCGTCACACAAGCTTCCCACCCACTGCCCCTTCCAGTGCGTTCCTGTCCTGACCCTGAGAGCTAATGGAGCCATTTAAATCCTGGGCCTGTCTGCCAACAGACGGGTTCCTTAGTGCCAGCTCCAGTGACTGTGGATTTGTGCTGTGGACACACATCCACAGAGACGAGACATGAGACCGTCAAACTCGTTTCATGAAGGCTGCCGAAGAGCCGTGAGACAGTAGCCACCGCTGCTCTGTTTTATTCTGCAGAAGGTGGGACCTCAGCTTCTTATTGGAGGCAGGGGAGGTGCCTAGCACATACTCCTCAGGCGTAAGGGCTCACAAGAAGCCACAGGAGAGACTCATCTAGCTACCCCCTGGACCAGAAGGATGGTTGCAGGACACCCACCGAAAATCCCTGCAGTGTAAGGCGTGGCCAGGCATGGGTGGCTGTGCTGTGCTCCCAGAGCAGGACTTGTGTTCTCAGCTCTGCTCCAATCCCTCTCCAGCGTAACCACAGGAAAGCTCCCATCCCCTCCCCTCCGTGTTTGCTTTCTAAGGCTCTGCTCCCTCCCGGAGTGACGACAATAAAAGGTCTCAAAGTTCACCTGAGGGAACCGCAGTTCCCCCCCCCTGCGGCGCTGCCCTGGGCGGACTTTAGTACGCCTGCCCTTTTCTCAGCCCAGGCCGACCCAGCCCTGGTCCCTTCCCATCTAGCCCCACACGTCCTCGGCAGACAAGCAGGAGAGAGAGGGAGCGAGACAGCCGCACAGCCTCCGAGCAGGAGGCAGGTGAGTAGCATTGGGTGGGACGTGATGGAATATCCCTGCCCCCAGATTGGGAAAGGGCAGAGCTGAATGGGAGCCCGGCTTCCCCTGACTCCTTGTCCCACCCTCGGGGGCTGGGGGTGGCCCTCTCCAGGCTGGATTCAGGTTTTCCAGCTGCCAAGAGAGAGGGCAATGAACCATGTTTCCGGTCACTGAATGCTTAGTGGGGCACTGTCACTAGTGTTCCATGAGACAGTGAATGCCAGGCTGTCTGGAGCAGGCTGTGTGGCAGAAGCTCATTTCTGATTGCATCCAGCCTGGGAATGAGGCGTCTTAGACTCCTGGCAGGTGCTAAGAGCGGTGGCCAAACCTCAGCCCGCTAATGTAGATAGATCCTAAGAAGATGCAGTGTTCACCCTCTCCTTTTAACACGCCAGCAGCTGACATGGCAGGCCAGCTACTGCACATCCCCAGGAACTGTAGCTAGAAGTACCTGGTAATCCAGAGCATTTGCCCTTCCGAGATGCCTGGCACACCCCAGAAAATGCCCTCACAGGCCATTTCTTTTCCTTCTGACAGCAGAGGCGTGAGGACAGCAGGCAGAGAGAGGAGTCGCTGGCCAAAGGTGGCGAGGAGAGTGGTAGCTCCCCAGGAATGGTAGGTCAATAAACTCTAATGTATCAGCTATGAGGGCCTGCTGGGGTTTCCACCAGTGTGACAGAGATAAGGGAGTTAGTTCCCATTTCATGGATGTGATCCGGCAGGTCTGTCCCTGCAGGGGAGTGTATAACTGAGCCAGCTGGCAGAGGAGCCCTTTCCGTCCATCCAAGGGAGTCGAAGTGCTGCAATGCCATGGGATAATGTGCATCGATGAGGAGCAATCTAGGCCCCCAAATGCCTGGGGCTGAGCTTTGGAAACATGCCTAAGGGATTTGGATTCCCATTAGAAATTAATGGAATTTGGGGTCCAAATGCTCTAAGGGACTGAAAATCTCACCTTAATGCCCCTTTCTCCGCTGTTCTTTCTGGGTGACCTGCAAAATCAGGGCCCTCAATCCCAACCACTTGCCTTTATTATAGATTCTGTGGGATTTTTCCTTGGAGTTAGGGATGTCAGCCCCAAGCCAGGGGCCAAAGCCCACCTTGGGTAATTCCACCTGCAGTTTTGGCGGGGGTATGGTATCGTCATCTTCTCTTGAACTGAAGCATGATGTTGCTTTTGTTGCTGTTTGCCTGTATTCCACCCCAGAGGTGGCTACATTGGCGTGATCATTCCTGAACCGTTCCTGTGTGTGCTGGGGAGAGGGGTCTGTCTATAGATGTGAGAGAGGCAGTGTGGATGAAGGGCTTTGGGGTAAAATACATTTTATAATCATAAGATATTAGCAGCAATAGTATCTGTAAGGCGGGTATTGTCTGTTGTCTGGTTATCAGGCCTGATCCCTGATATGATCAGGAGCAGCCTCCAGGTTTCTCCCTCTGCAGTGCCAAAATTCCAGCCATGCTCCTGCACTTCAGAGGTGAAGGTGCAACTTCCTGTTGCCATGAAGGGGTTAATGCCTAGGCTACTGCTGTGTTCGCATGATACTGGGATATGTCCCAATAAATCATAGTGGTTTCTATCAGTTCTGTGATGGATTATGCAGGATTGAGCAGAAATGTCAGCCTGTCACCTGCACAACGGCAGTGAAGAGGGGCCGAGGATGCAACTGGGCAAACGATTCCCTCTGAACAATTTTTTGGGACAAGTTTGGCCTGCTTTTCTGTCCTTGAATCATCCACGTTTGCGGCAGGCAGGGCCATCCTTAGGATTTATGGGGCCCTATGCAGTATTATTAAACTGGTGCCCCTGTGCCCGATGGCAGCCCGGGCTTGCATGTGTATTTTAGATAAGGGTTGTCTTTTGAAGGATTTATTTAAAAAATTATATGTCTGAAGAGCCAAACATTTAAGGCTAAAGATGAATATTCAGATTGTGCATCTAAAAATCTATGCAAGGATTTTTTTTTTAGAGATGTGATTTTTATAATCTTCAGCAACACACTAATGAAATATTTTTAAAGCACATTTTAAACCAAGGTCCTGTAGACTAACATGTTCTGAGTAAATAATGTTTTCACCTCCCAGCTCAGAGAGAGTGGAGAAGTGATGTACAATTGTTTTTGTCAGTAAAGTCGGTATATATACCTGGGGGTTGGCAAATGCCTGTTAAATGGCTTCATTACCACTTGAATGGCTCTTTAACAGTTTTAATGTTGTGCTAATAGGTCTGGCAGGCTGGAGGCTTTTTCACTTTTAAGTACTAGATCCCCTCTGGAGGAAGCCTCACCAGGCTGCAGCAGCCAGCTGTGGTGGGAGCCTGCAGGAAGGGGCAGAACAGGGATAGGAAGAGGCGGGAGGGTGGACACTAAGACACAGGGGTGCCCCAAATTTTCAGGTGCCCTACGCAGCCCCGCATATGCCTAAGGACGGCCCTAGCAGCAGGACCTCTCAATGGCTACTGAATTAGAAAGAGGGGGGAGGGATAGCTCAGTGGTTTGAGCATTCGCCTGCTAAACCCAGGGTTGTGAGTTCAATCCTTGAGGGGGCCATTTAGGGACCTAGGGCAAAAATCTGTCTGGGGAGTGGTCCTGCTTTGAGCAGGGGGTTGGACTAGATGACCTCCTGAGGTCCCTTCCAACCCTGACATTCTATGAGAGTTGTGTGTGCTCAGCAACTCCCGGGGGCTGCTCCACCCCCTCTTCTGTCTGGGGCATGAAGCCCCCGGGTGCTGCTGCAAAACAAGCAAAGGCCAATCCCCCTCTTCAGGGCTTGGCCCCAGCCTGGGACTTGCTTTGTTGTGATGGTGCTTTCACTTTATGCAAATACCGCCTTCGGTTTCATTTCCTACGGCTACCCACTCTCCTGATTTCCTTTTGGGTTTAGGATGGGACAGACTCACATGAAGCCTAGAGATACGCTTGGTTTTTGAGCTCAATGTGCTTCAGCCCAGGCTGGCTTGAAACTGAGGTCAGGTTGTCTCGGGTTGTGGATGGCAATGAAGCATATGATACATCTATGGAGGCCTTGTTGTGGATCAGATGGGTTTGGGCTTGGACTTGAGTGACTAGCCTATTGAAATGAATGGGATTTCTGACCTAGCAAGGTACTACACAACTGGAGGAGAAAGAATCGGGCCCAATAAGTATAAGAAATTCAGGGCAAGGACCCCGGGGCCTGATTCTCCTTTGCTTTGCACCATATACCATCATCGGTCTGTCTACACTGCAGTCAGAGGTGTGGCTGCAGCACGTGTAGACATAATCAGACTAGTTTTGATCTAGTTGAATAATAATTGCAGTGAAGCCGCAGCAGCATGGGCCAGCCTCTGGAGTACGTACCCAGGGTCCTGGGCAGGCTGTTGCGGTTTCACTGCTAGTGTTACATGAGCTAGTTGGATCAAAGCTAGCTCGGTTATGTCTACACATACTGCACTCACACCTCTGATTGCAGTGTAGACATACCCAATGACACCTGTTCAAAGTGGTGTCATTCTGAAATGGTAGCAAGGTGTGTCCACTTTGCATAGGTGTACACATCAATGCGAGGTGCAGAGAGGTAGAGAACAGACCCTGGGGCCAGGTTACGATCTCATAAATCCAGATTAACTCCATTAACTTCATGGCCACTTTTCTTTTTATTTGTACGGTAGCGCTCTTGGATGCTGCAAAATAGTGAAAAAGCAGCTGCAGTGGGGGAAAAACCCAGGACCACGGTCTCATCTATGCAAAACTAGGAACCTCTTGGACCTGGGAGAAGTAACCAAAATGCAATAAGTTTGGTATCTTTCCCCCCGTAGTGCTTGATCTTCAGCAGCAGTGACCTTTTCTCCTACTTTACCATCCTTTCTCCAGTGTGCTCTTCATTGCGACTCTTATTTATTCCTTGTGTTTTATAAAATTCTAGAACGCACACACCCCAATTACTCTGGTTGGCTCAAACGCTCAAGTCCTGGCTCCAGACACGCTGTTGTTGATGTCGGTGGCAGTGGAGCCTGAAGGCTGAGTAAAAACACCTGTCCCCGACTCCGTGTGTTGCCTGAAATGAATTTATTTTTCTTTGGCTACTGTGACTCCGATTGCTGACTCTTTGCTCCCTCTCTCCTCAGGACGTGGGGCTGCTGGAGATCCCCGCAGAGCTTGCGGCACTCCTGCACTCTGCCAAAGGTAAGAAAACCCCTCCAGCCCGCTCGCTCGGTTCTAACTCACGGTGTTTGCATTTGTGGCTTTGCATGTGTGTGTGTTCGGCACGCTCTCTCGCCTATATCGTATCTGCTCTGTTGGTGTTGGAAATGTAAACACGATAACCCCAGGTGGATGTGTATAAGGGCCTCCTCCAAGATACAGGGATAGACGTCTAGGCAGCATTGTCCAGTGGATACAGCACTGGACTGGAGCTTGGGAGACGTGGGGTTTTATCCCTCCGGCTCTGCCACTGACCTACCATGTGAATGTGGGCAAGTCATTTCCCTTCTCTGTGCCTCTTTCCCCTTGTATGGCTCATATATTTAGATTGGAACTCTGTGGGGCAGGGCCTGTCTCTTTGTACAGCACCTAGCATATTGGGGCCCCTATTTCAGTTGAGCCTCCTAGGTGCTGCCATAATACAAATTAATTAGTCAGCGGGGCAAGACACCTGTCAATGAGCAGACGGTGCTGAGTTCCCTGTGCACCTTGCCCATGGAAGCATCCCCCAGGAGATGTAGATGACGAAGCATTGTGGCCAAAGAGATGTGTGGCGAGTCGTGCGGGTTGGGCATGTTTTGACAAAATGCCTTTTCCCCTCCATCGGAAAATGCTGATTCATCAAAACCAAACCCTTTTTGGGGGAACATATCCATTTCAACAAAGCTTTCATCAGGAAGGTTTCATCTGGTCAGAGAGAGAGAGAGGGGCAGACAGAGACGTCCCAGGAATAGCCTGATTCAGAGCAGGAGGTTGAACCTGGCTTTCCCTTATCCCGGCTGAGTGCCCTGAACACCAGGCAATAGGCTATTCCCTCTCTCCCCACTTCCCTTCCCTGCCCACCTCTGTTTTCAATTCATGGACAGTTTTGAAAGGTCTTGACTTCGTCCCAGTGCAGAATGAGAAAGTTTTGAAATCTCAAAAGCTTTCCTGGGACAGGAAAACCTTTTTGCTTTCCCTGGAGCATGAATAGGGTTTAACCAGAGGAGGTGGCAGTGGGGGAGGCGCTGGCTTGGAAAGCGAAGGGAGAGGAGGTGGGAGGGAAGGAAAGTAGCGTTGCTGGAGAAGGCATGCAGAAGCCGTGTTGCTTGGGGAAGTCTCTGCAGCCAGGGAGGCGTTTGTTGTCCTATCGCCCCTGATAAATCCCTTATCTTCTGCCTCACTCATGGTGACCTCTGGTTTATTTATCGACTGGGACACTGCCAGCAGAGTCTCTGCAGTGCTGCATTATTTATATACCTGTGAAGGAATGGAAACCCTTTCAGAGCCCTGGCCTGGGGCGTTCCCTATGGACTGTTGCAGGCATTAGAGGTTTGGTCCACACCCTTCACTGAGCTAATCCTGGATGTGTTGTTTTCATGACCCCTCTCTGCTCTGCTAACTCCCCCTTTCTAAAAGAGCCTTGAGTCCATTCTCTGAGGAGGCCTGTTCTGTCGCTCCAACCCCAGCTAGAGAAAAGGCAGCGTGAGGGTGAACAGAGAAGCTGCTCAGTTGTGTGTGGGCAGGGGTCTGTGAGGATGGGGAGATGGTGTGGGGGTGGTGCAGAGGGCTGGGTGAGGGAGCAGGTGCCTCTGGGGGACGGAGACTTTGTGGTGTCTGGTGGGGGAGGGTGATGGTGGTGTGGGGGTGTGGTGTCTCGGGGAGGGCCGTTGGTGCGGTTGGCTTGGGCGATGGTGTGGGTGTCTCTGGTGTGTTGGTAACTGGGCGTGTGGCACCATATCTAGATGGGCCTGAGGCTGAGTGTCCATTTTCTCTCTCTCTCTTACAGGTCAGCACCATGCCCAGGCCAATCAGATCATGGAGGTTTCACCTCCGGAGGTCAAGGCCAAGTGTGATCTCTCCCTCCCACCCAATATCAATAGCTCTCCCTTCTCCATCTTCATGAGGTCTCACTTCCAGGTAGGATGCTGCTGATGCCAGAAGCCACAGGGACCCTTCCATTCTCTCCTGCCCCTTCTCCTGCCTCCTCCCTGCTTGTTACCTCCCTACCCCCACCCCCCACTTCAGTGTTGTCTCCTCCTCTCCACGCCTCTGCCAGTCTGCCCCAGGATCTGCCTCTCCCCCACTCTCTCACATACTCATAGGTGCTGGGAACTGCCACACACACCCCCACACCCCGGCTCGAAATGCTCTCCATTATATTCAGGGTTTACAGTTTGGTTCAATGGCTCTCAGCAGCCCCGCTATATACATTGTTCCAGCGCCCCTGCCCGTACTTTCTCTGTCAGGACGCTTTCCTGGGCTCCCTAACCTCCTCATCTCTCCGCTCCAGTACGTGCCTGCAGACACCCCGGCAGGGGCTGTCTGTGCTGCACATCCCCATGGGCTATGTCTATGGCATTGGGTTGTCACTAAGGCCTCTGCCTAGGAGTCTGATAAAGAACTGAGCCCCGCGACAAGCCGTCTGATGCCTCCTCAGCCCGCTCTTTGCCCTTGTTTGCCTGGCACAGCTGGGAGAATGCAGAGTCCCGCTGTGGACTCCGGCTCTCTCCTAGGGCTTGTAGCAGGGGGGCACGCTGCCATTGGAAATGCCAGCCATGAACTCCGTCCTTTTTCACCTCCTAGGAGCCCAACTTCCCTGCCCTTGGACAGCCCCTGCAGCAGCCCTTAACCCGCCTGGAGGGCGAGGACACGCAGCGCGCTCTGGAGATCAACAAACTGGTGAGTGCAGGGGGCGGGGGTGCAGCTAGCCTACAGTATCGGACAATCCCAAAGCAACCCCACTGGCCTTTGTAGTGGGGCATTAGTGAAATATGAAGGCACATTATACAGGCACTCTGCTCCTCTAGAAGTTTCTGTCTCTAGAAGCGGAGGGGCTTTGCTGGGGTTCACAGGGCCTCGAGCACGGTGGTACCCCCAGAAGGAAAGTCATGCGGTCTAGAGGTGACAGCAAAAGAACTGAGAGCCAGGAGGACCCTGGATTTATATGCAGCAAGTCACTCGCTCGCTGTCAGCCCATGGGCAGGTCCTCTGACCTCCCTAAGCCTCATTCAAACAAGCTGGAAGACAGGAGGGAGGGTGGGGAAGTAAATTGGCTAATGATACGTCCTCACTGCAGCGTTAATGCTGGCAATGGGCAACGGGGTGGGAGCAGTTGTGCTGCAAAGCCACATGCGAGTTGCTGTGTTCTCACTGATGCTGTGCTCACCCCTGTACATCGCATGGGCTTCTGGGGGCCTATCCCATGGTTCTTAGCCCTGCACCAAACTGAGCCACTCTTTGGCTCTTTCCCAGTGAATGGTGGGAGAACTTGTCTGTCCTTCTGGGCGCACGGGGGGAATTGTGGAAAGGCAGTGCAGGGCTATCAACACTCTAGTGGTTTAGCCTGCATCCACACAGGAAGGGGGGGGGTGGCAGCTTGAGTGAAAGCACTTTAGCCTACAGCTCCACCTGGGACAGCTAGCCTGGGTTGGGTGAGAGTTTTGTATGTGAATGGGGGTGGAGGGAAGAGGTTAGGGGCAACACCCAGTGGGGACGGAGAAGGGGTTACGTTAACTTTAAATTGTATGATGTGAGAGGTTGTTATAGGGTAAGAGTAAAGAGAAATTGTCTGTTGGGGCATGTTGTTGTTGGATGGAGATCAAAAGCACATATGCTACTGGGGGCACAGAGTCACAGAGGTTTGGATTCCCGAATGGAAGCTCCCCCAGAGGGGAGAATTGAAGGGTCATGGCTGGCTGAGGAGGAGAGAGGGCGCAGGATCACAGCGGGGTTTGGGAAGCTGGGCTCTGATCAGGAAGGGAAGGCTCCGGTAAGATTAGCAGTGGGAAGTAGAAGGGTTACCGAGCACTGTTGTGAGGTTTGTTATGTTTACTCTGGTTAAATAAAACACTAGTGTTTTTTCAAAGCCAACAATGGGAAGCATAGTCAGTCAGGGTGGGGAGGTTTGAAGAGGGCCCTCAAAATAGTTAAAGCGGCCAGGATCACCTGATATATTTAAAGGCAAGGGGGAGGAGGGCTGTACTAATGCTTACATCCGAAAGTGTTTTATGGGGCTAATTGTATAGATCTGATATAACATGTGAGAATGACAAACCACAGGGAAGGGGTGGAGTGAGGGAGGCCGGAGTTACAGCAATACAATTGTGCAGTGACTCTCAGTGTAGGCATTTGTACACCTGGATGGCTCAAAGTTTAATGAGACTTGGCGCATGGCTGCTGTTCCTTTCCATTATGTTGCATTTTGCAGCATTTGTGGCTTCCCTTCTAAACAGTTTAATTCTGTGGTTGAGTCTATATATTTTAAAAAATGCAACTCAGTCTTACAGTCCATGCTGAACCAGCAGAGCTGTGACTTTACCCACGTTCTACTGTCTCTGGGAGGGAATTGTCTGTTTCCCTGTGTTAGGGAGGGGTGTTCAGTAGCCGTGCTGTTGTACGGGTACAGGAGTAGAGATTTTTGTTTAAAGAAGGGATTCAGCCTCTTTGTTATGAATGAAAAATACAGCGTATCTTCTCCAAAATTACAGCACTTACTCTTTCAGTACAGTGTGGATGTTCTGAGAATTGACACGTAAATCTGTTGATGACTTTAGGAATTCAGTTACATTAAAAATTCATTAAGAAATGTAGCACCCGAAATCAGAACTTTCTTTTGTCTCCAAAGATCTCATTAACAGATCGGCACAGACTCTTCAAACTTCCCGGAGAGTGGAAATAATGAGGAAAAGGATAAATACTGTAACCCTTTAAAAATGTTGCCTGTGTACAAGATTTCAGTGAGTTTTAACTATATAGGAAGTTTGCAGAGTCTCTTCTGTTACCGTTGGAGACCAAAGAGTCTCGGTCTGTGTGCTAAGATTTTTTAAAGGGCCTAATTTAGAATCATTTAAATTCCTAAACTTATTCCTAGATATACTTGTGAATTCTCAAAACCTTCATTCCGTAGTCAAAGAGGAAGTGCTGTAATTTTGGGAAACATATGCAGTGTTTTTCATACAATCCAGAGGTCAAATGTCTGCTTTAAGTGCAATACTCAGCCCAGCCTTAACTATGGAGTTTTTACTAATGCCTCCATAACACTTAGCATTTTTTAGTACAGTAAATAGATCTCAGAGCTCTTCACAACGACTGGGTGAGCATCATTTCCTTCACTGTACAGACAGGTAAACCGTGGCCCAGAGAGGGAAGGTGACTCACCCAAGACCACACAGCAGGTCAATGGCAGAGTCAGGAATATAGCTCAGGAGTCCTGGCTCCCAGTCTGATGCCCTATCCCCAGGACATGCTGCCTCCCAAATTCTCCTAAACCTTGGGGGTGCCTGAAATCTGAACCCCAATTCAGATCTGAATTTTGTAGAGGGCTCCTGGGGCCAATTGGTCCTCCTAGTTCAGATGTCTCCGGAAATGTGAGGTACCTGCAATTGGAGCTTGGGTCGGAATGTTTCGGTTTAATCCTCTCGCTGTTTTTCCATTGGGCGTCTTTTAGATCCTGCGGTTCATCGGGGACAGGAACCTCCAGAGCTGGCAGGAAGTGCTCCTGGGTAACTACATCGCCAGCCGAGGGCTGGGCAACCCGGCCCTGCGCAACGAGCTTCTGAGTCAGGTGGTCAGCCAGGTGTGGAAGAACCCAGACACAGAGCAGAGCCAGCGAGGCTATGCTCTGATGGCTGCCCTCCTGAGTGCATTTACCCCTTCGCCAGCACTGGAGAAACCCTTGCTGAAGTAAGGAAGGGGGAGAGATGGCTCCTTTTTTATTGCTGTTTCCGGAGAGGAGCAGCTCGTATTAAAGGCAGCTGCTTGGTTTGCAGGTTCGTGTCAGACCACGGGCTGGAAGGCTACAATGCTGTTTGCCAGCGCAAGATCCTCACGGCAATGCAGCAGACAGACACGGACCCCGAGGTCTCCCGTGCCCATCCTCCCACCCTGTTGGAGTGGACCGCTAACCAGAGGAGAGGGAAGATGGTGCTGGACGTCTTCACCTATAATGGTAACTAGCTCCTGCCCTCCCCAACTTCGAACCCCCACGAGGCCTCTGCTGACACAGGAATTAGAAAGGGGGCTCAGAAAATCCTTCCCGTGGCTGGAAGTGGGCACAAGACCTGTGCTACTTGCTGGCATGAGCATGAGGGTTTGAACCTGGTGTCCAACCCCTCCCAAAGTCAGAGATTCAGGGTCTTCCCTGTTGTAGAGACAGAGGGTGGATTCTCATCTAGAGCCTGATCCAGAGTTTCAGTTCGTTTGAGTTGGTGCCTGGCTGCAGCAGTCAATCGCTGCTCCTGCTCCAGCTAGAACAAAATCTACTTCTCCCCCTGCTCCCCGTTGCTCTGTGTTCTCAGCATGAGTCACTTTCCCTGCTGCTCGCTGATCAGCTGAACCTCCACTCCCGGCTTTTTTCCCTCCCCCAAAACGTTTCCATTCCAATGTACTTTCTTTGTAACATAGTGTGTGCTTGGCACCTCTGCAAACCAGGACTCAGCGAGCGGCTACAGGCACCTGGCTACCAATTAGAGCTTACAGAGGTGGGATCTAGAATGCCCTGGCATTGGCAAGCACACAATGATTACGGAGTCGCCATGTGCTAGTCCAGAGAGGGCCCCCGGGGAGAGCGCTCAACCTGCTCTCAGCCCCTCTGAGTCTCCTTAGCAGCCTGTGTGTGAGAATCTCCAACAGGGCTGTCCGCATGCCGCCATCTTGTGCCATTTTTAGTTCTGTGGAAGGCTTTGTGCTGACTCTCTCTTTCCTGGGCTAGAGGAGATGTTCTCTGCTGAAGTAGAGTCCTGGACAACAGGGGAACAGTACGCAGGCTGGATCCTGAGTTCAAGGTACAGTCCAAGGGGGGGAGTGCTGTTGTTCTTTGGGTTCACATTGGGCAGGGCTGCAGGCCAGGAGTAATGCATTCATCCCTGGAATAGTTGCATTTCCCACCATCACCTGTTCTCCGTCTCTCCAGTGCCTGTGCATGGGATTGCACTGTTTATACCTCCAATAACATAAGAATTGCCAGACTGGCCCATTTAGTCCAGGATCACACTTCTGAATGTCAGAGCCGGCTCCAGCATTTCTGCCACCCCAAGCAAAAAAAAAAAAAAAAGCCGCGATTGGCGGCGGCAGTTCAGTGGCAGGTCCTTCGCTCCTAGAGGGAGTGAGGGACCTGCCGCCCCCGAATTGCCGCAGGTGCCGCCCCTCTCCCTTGGCCGCCCCAAGCACCTGCTTGTTAAGCTGGTGCCTGGAGCCGGCCCTGCTGAATTTGGCCAGCACCAGCTGCTTCAGAGGAAGTTGGAAGAAATCCCATACTGGACAATTATAGAGTATGAGGGAATGATTCTTCCTGACCCCAGGCCCTTAGTGGTTGGCTCTTGCCCTGAAGCATGAGAGTTTACATTCCTTATTTCAGAATAGAATTCTCTGAATAACTTGGGCTCCTGAGCCTCTCTGGACTGAACAGTTCTAGTTCTTTGGGAAGTGGTTGGGATTGGATGGAAGGGAAGAGATTGAAATGTGGGGGGGTGAGGAGGGGGTATCAAGGATTCCAGGATATGGCATGGAGCCTCCTATGACTTTCTCTTCTGCATTCCTTTTTGACACTGATACAGCGTGGTGTGTGTGTGTGGGTGTGTGTGTGTGTGTGTGTGTGTGTGTGTGTGTGTGTGTGTAGTACGCGCAGATGATGAAACTGA